CCAGTCGATCCGCCTCTTCAGGTTCCATCAGACCACCTTGGCCTTTGCCCTTGTCCAGCTTCATCTTGACGTGTGTCGGCACAAAAGCGGTGACGGCTTCCTTTGTCAAATTCCGAACCATCGGCTTCGCCTCGTATACAGTCTTCGGCTCCGGCGCGGGGGCCTTGGCCTCCTTCTCCTTCTTCTTCTCCCTCTCTTCTGGCGGTTCCCTCTCCGCCTGCTCTGCCTGCCTTCTGGCACGTCTCTTTGCGTACCACTTATCCATCAGTTCTTTCGGAATCGGTGGCGGTGTGTCGCGGGGCATGGGGATCCGCTTCACGTCGTCGGGGACATCCTCGTCGCTCGTCAACTCGTCGTTGTCACGTCTCCGCTTTCCGAGGACTCCGCCGGAAGAATCGCCATCGCGGTTGTATCCTCCTCCTCCGCGGCTAAAGGTGGGTGCTTTGTCGCCGAGCGCTTCGCGCGCCTTGTTTACTGCTCGTAGCTCCTTCTCGAGGCCTTCGAGGACCTGTTCTTCGTGGCGCGATAGCTTGCCTCCGTTTGTTGTGATTCCCTTGAGGTCGTCTATCTGTTTCTGGAGTCTTTCGGGGTTGCGGCGTGCGAGCTTCTCATTGCGACGGCCTTGTACCTCCGCCTTGCCTGGAAGAGGAGCTTGGTTAGTGACGACTTTACTGGCTCATGTGTCGCTGTTTGGGGATATTACCCTTCTTGATTGCTTTCGCCTTGTCAGATTTACGCTGAGCGTTGACTGGGTTATAATTCTTTTCTTTTGGCATTTTGGGTGTGAGTATGGACGTGATGGGGTTGATTGAAGAAGTCTAAATGGCGATGTCACAAGAAGCTTCTAAGCCGACCTTGGAAGATCGATTAGTCTGATAGCGATAAGACGATATGTCACTATCGATAGTGCTTATCGCATCACGTGCAGCTTTCAGCTGGACAGGGGTATGATTGTTGCCCCTGCAACATTGTTGACTTGGTGCCCCGCAGCACCCAATAACACTGTCGCTTTGTTCCCTTGTTCCCCCTAATACGCAAGTGCCCACCAGCGATCGACTGTGCAGTGGTCAGCCTCCGTAGGTCGGGTAGATCTTGGGCAGTCTGTCTCCATCCATCGCCCTGGCACGCCTGGATTCCTACCCAAGTCAACCCCACGGCGGAGAAGATAACAACATAATAACCCGCGTTGGTTACGCTTTATCTCGAGCACGCAACTCTATTCGTACCTTGCAGTGCTTTTCGATCCTCCTCCCCCAAACATCTTTCTCGATTACCCCTCCAAGCACATTGGTTGATACCTTTGGTCGCTAAGTTTCGCCCCCCGCTCGCATCCTCTCTCAATCCACCTCCCGAATCTGTTTGCTTCACAACATCATCAACAATGTCGGGCTTCATGGCCAATTTGTTTCCTGGAGGAACCAGGGACAACAATGCAGCATCGCGACCCGAGACGCCTACGAGAAATAGCTTCATCAACCCAGCCAGCACACCCCAAGGCAGCCCCAGCAAGAGAACGAACCCCCCTGGCGCCCACGAATTGCCCGAGTCCTTCGACAATGCGCTCAAGTTGAGCACACCTGTTCTGGAAAGACCCAGACTCGATCGCCCGCTGAGTGTGATCACCACCCCGCAGTCTTCGGGAAGAGGCAACGAATACAGTCCCAATGTCGAGGACAGCGTCTTGCACAAGGGAGCGACTTCAGCAGGCAGCCCCTTGAAGAAGTCCCATGGACAGGAGAACACTCCCCCCGTCTCGCGCTTGGGAGGCAACGACTCTCCCTACCAACAGAGCCATGCTGCCATCTCCCGTCACGAGCTATACCAGCCCAAGGAGAAGGCTGTGACTCCTAGGAACAAGTTCAACACCCAGAGAGCACTCACGCCCGAAGAGCTGGAGATCCTGCAGCGCCCCAACGTGCGAAGACTCGTCAACGTGACACAGCTCTGTATGTTGATTGAACTCTGTTAGACACGGCGTAAGCAAGACTGACTGAAAGCAGACTTTCTCGATTATTACTTCGACCTTCTTACGTATGTCGGCTCCAGACAGAACCGCCTGAACAACTTCCAATCGGAGATCCCGCCTCCCCCAGAGACCGATGAGGCGACGTACAATCAGATGTGGTCAAAGTACAAGGGACGAGAGCGTGCAAACCTCAGAAAGAGACGAGTGAGACTTCGCCAGGGTGACTTCCAGATCCTCACCCAGGTCGGACAAGGAGGCTACGGTCAGGTCTTCCTGGCGCAGAAGAAGGATACTCGGGAAGTCTGCGCGCTGAAGGTCATGAGCAAGAAGCTGCTGTTCAAGCTTGACGAAGTTCGCCACGTGCTGACAGAGCGTGACATCCTGACCACTGCCAAGAGTGAATGGCTTGTCCGACTTCTTTACTCATTCCAGGATGACAAGAGTATCTATCTTGCCATGGAGTATGTGCCGGGAGGAGATTTCCGCACGCTGCTCAACAACACGGGCGTTCTGAGCAACCGTCATGCTCGTTTCTACATCGCCGAGATGTTCTGCTCCGTGGATGCTCTTCACCAGCTTGGTTACATCCATCGAGACTTGAAGCCGGAGAACTTCTTGGTCGATTCTACCGGACACGTCAAGCTCACGGACTTTGGACTAGCTGCTGGTATGCTTGCGCCGGCCAAGATCGAATCTATGAGAGTCCGTCTCGAAAAGGCATCCGAGACTTCAGTACCTTTCGGAAAGCCCATGGATAAGCGAACAGTAGCTGAGCGAAGGGAGGGGTACCAGACAATGCGCGCAAAGGATATGAACTACGCCAAGTCCATCGTTGGCTCACCCGACTACATGGCGCCTGAAGTTCTTCGAGGAGACGAGTATGACTACACGGTGGATTACTGGAGTTTGGGCTGCATGCTGTTCGAGGCTCTGACCGGATTCCCTCCCTTTGCGGGCTCCACGCCCGACGAGACTTGGAGGAACTTGAAGCACTGGCGCGAGGTGCTCAAGCGACCCGTTTGGGAGGATCCTAACTACTTCCTCAGCAACCGCACTTGGAATTTCATTACGACGTAAGTGGGCCCTGTCACGGTTGACATGCTTTGTGACATCATCTGACACCACGCTTTAGCTGCATCAACTCTCGGTCTAAGCGCTTTTCCAACTTCAAGGAGATTAACTCTCACCACTACTTTGCCGAGGTTGACTGGGACACCCTACGAACCACCAAGGCTCCATTCGTGCCTGAGCTCGATTCAGAGACGGACGCCGGTTACTTCGATGACTTTAGTAATGAGGCGGACATGGCCAAGTACAAGGAGGTGCATGACAAGCAGCAGGCCCTCGAGACTATGGCGGACCGTGATGACGAGATGGGCAAGAGCCTCTTCGTCGGCTTCACATTCCGACACCGGAAGACTACCGACGACGCAAGTCCGCGCAAACCTATCCCCTTCAAGGAGGAGGAGGACACCTTTGGCACGATGCTGTAGCGCAGACCTGTGTGGAATTGGACGCAGTTGAGTCGGACAACATTTCGGAGAGGCTTCCTCTGAATCTGGAGTCCAAATATTCGATTTACGATGATGATGAGACGGACGTCATTGAGCCAATAAGGCGGTGTTCGAGAAAGGCGAGGGACTACTTGTATGAGTTTGGGACTGGACTGCCCTGCAGCAATGGCATGTTTGAGATGAGATTTCGGGCATTTCTTTTTGCGTTGGAGTTTGCAGATGGACAGGTTCAGGTGGACAGGCCTGCTAACACAGCATTAAGCAAGCAGGGTCTTCTTTTTTCGGGTTGGGATTAATTCTAGGGGATGAGACGGCGTTGCAGACGGCCGAACATCCGACACACACGTGGGACTGGAGATGAATAGACACGCACAGAAACAATTGATACTTTTCTTCCTCTCACTTCCGGTCAGCTTCCCCAGCTTACTCACCGACAGTGGGTGCCAACCTGTCCGCGTCATCTTTTGAGGCTTGCGCGAAGCCCCGTGAGAGTACCTGCCTTAGTTGAAGCAGATATGACCAGCCTCGCCTCTCGGCACGACGGCAGCTAAGCCAACGATCGGGGCTGCCAAAGCCTGACGGCGGGCGGTCTGTTTTTAGTGGTGGTGATGGTTGTGTCTATCAGCCGGCACCGAGCGAGCAGGATAAGCACATACTCTGAAACAAATGCGATGAACGCGCTTCGGCCTAGTTCTCGGTGGTCACGTTCCCTTTCCGGCGCAAAGACGGTCATCATCCATTCCTTTTTTCGCTGACGCCGTTTTCTGTTTCGTTTCTTCTCTCGTCCTCGTCCCGACTTGAAGGTGCAGTGCAGTGCAATGCGCTGTTCCCGACGAGCTGGATCCGTTGGCAGCAGGAAGCAGGAAGGCAACCCATTCGGACGAAAAGAATAAAAGCCCTAGGGGCATACGTCAGCCCTTTTTCTGTTTTGATGTTTCTGCCAAAACCCCGAATGGGGTGGGAAACGTGGGCTGACGCTTCCTCGCAGGAAAGTACATACGCTTCAGAGAAACCAAGCATAGAGACGGATTTCCCTTCTCCATCGTTTTGGTGTTTCCTCACCTCACCCAGTACTAAAAAAGTACCTTATTCCCCAGGTATGATGGAGTTACCCGGGGGACCGAGAGCGCAATGCGGTTGAAACGGAGGTTGGTGTTGATTGGCTTGGACTTACATGACGGATCGCCGAACCGAACACTAGCGGTGGTGGACCGGTGTTCCCCAAACCCCATCCCGGATGAGCATTCTTTTTTCCATGTTGTGTCACATCACACATTCGCCCTCTCAGCGACGCGCGAGAGACCCCCCGTTGGAGCTAATAGCTAAGCATACTTGCCGACGAGCCACTAGCGTTTTGTCCGACTGCAGCAGCTAAAGTCTGACTTTTTGTGGGTGAGAGGCTCTGTGTGTCCGTGAGGGCAAACATCCACACATTCGCGACGCTCTTGTTCCTTCTTTTTCATGGTGACACCGTCCGGGGGGGATCCTGCCATGCAGGGCCGCGCGGTTGGGGGCTTTGATCAAGGGTCGGACAGGGCGAGAAGATGTGCGCGCGAGCTGAGGCTGTTGGGATGTGAGGTAAGGTAAGCAGACCAGAGTTGTGGGATGGAGGGGGATACACGGCTCTGGGGGAGGAGGTGTGATGCGCGTGAGAGGAACCAGTAGTGTAGCCTGGGCATCCGGTAGGATCTGCGGAGGTTCAAAGAGCTAGAGTCACAAACCGCGGTGTCCGTGGGACCAAGGCGGCTCCTCCTCGCCTCCGCTGCCCCAGTAGAGGAGAGAGGAAACGAAGATGCACGCCAAGACCCTGTCGTTGCTTTTCGTTTTTTTGCCATGCGGCCATGCGCCTGCTCGGGACCGAAGCTGTCTGTTCCTCTCCATGTCCCTCCTGCCGTGTTCAGCAACAGTACTTCGTACGGCATTTGAGCGAGACTAGCGGAGTAAGGCAACGGTAGTCGAAGGGGGTGTGTAAGGGCGTGCGCGGAAAGCGATGCAGAGAGAGAAGAGGCGGTCATGTCGTTTTCCACGGAATATAAAGACAAGTCGTTGGAGCTTCAGTTCGTCCATTGTTTGAAAGTTGTTTTGAACCATCACATCGGAATTGCATCTCATCTTCCTTCTTCCGTCGCAACATAAAAACATCAGCCAAACTCATTTACACGCATTTACATCCATCTGCAGGCGCAGGGAATTTTCTCTCATCGAACTTTTCACAACAACAAGAAAACACATATCAAATCAACCAAAATGAAGGCTGCTTTCGTTGCTGCTGCTTTGGCTCAGGGCGCCGCCGCTGTCGCCAACCCCATTGGACCCGGAAACGGTGGCTTTGGACCCGGTAACGGCGCCGGCTGGGGTGGATTCGCCTACGGTGGTGGATTCGGCGGATTCGGCCCCGGCGGATTCGGTAACGGTGTTGCATCATGCGCTGTAAGTCTAAGCTTTTTCACGCTTTCCTCCCGTTCATCCCAGCCCTTCGGTCCCAACTTCTCCCTCAAACCTACCGTCTCAATTCTCTTGAACTCTATATACCCCGAATACGTTCTGCTAACACACTTTTACTAGAGCTCCTGCTTCTCATCCCACTTCGCCACGGCAACCCCCACCCCGGCCGCCTTCTGCACCGACGCCCCGCAGCTCAACGACTGCGTAAAGTCCGCCTGCACCTCGGACGCCGCCGCCCTCTCCACCTACACCTCCGTCTCCTCCTCCGTCTGCAACGCCTTCACCTCGTGCGCCAGCACCAGCACCTTCACCTACAGCGGCGGCTGGTGGGGCTCCAAGACGGGCGACGCCGCCGCCGTCACCATCACCGGCTGCCCCGTCGACGGCTGGTGGGGTCCCGGCGGCGCCTGGGGCGGCATGGGCCCCGGCTGGGCCTACAAGACCGACACCGTCACCCTCACCCGCACCGTCAACGGCGTCGCCACCACCGGCCCCGCCACCGTCGCCCAGGCCGTGTCTGGCAGCAGCACGCTGCTCACGACTTTCACTGGCGCGTTCGCCGCCCAGGCGACGAGCGGTTCCGGGTCTGGGTCGACTAATGCTGCTGCTCCTGCTGATGCCAACCGCGGCGTCTTGGCTGCTGGCGCTGCCTTGGGCGCCTTCGTTGCTGCTGTCGGTTTGATGTAAAGGAATTTTGCATCGAGTCTTGTCACGGACAACGATTCCCTTGTACCTTGTATACCATATCCCCCTTCCCTTTTGTTGTGTTTTTACAACCGGGATCTGCAAAAAGATGAATCGGAGAAAATAAGGGGCATAGGGCAAGGTTTTCATTCTTACTTCATTCCTTAATGACCAGGAGTTAATTTTGGGGGAGAATTGTTAATAAGGCTGGACACCTTTTGTAACGTATTTGACGATGGCATGTCTCTTGATGATGGGAGATGATTACAGTCCTTACTTAGTACGCAGTATAGTCACGGCCGGGTACGGTGATGCGAATTACATTGTTCACTACATCCCTCTATCTCCCCATTACTCGCTCTTCACTTGCAAATAAAAATTGAGACTAGGATTCGGAGCAGGAACCTCATCGAGGTATGTAGGTGTTCAATTTTCATTTGCGCTTTACCGAAGGCTTAAACTCAATGAAATTTAGAAAATCAAATCATGTGTTCTCACTGCTAGCTCTCTAGACATCAAGTCTCATCTGATGAATCCTCCCTATACCCGGGCAACCTAGCGAAGGTGACGCCAACCCCAAGTTTCGGGGATAAATAACGGTGTCGCATCGAAAATGGACGCAGAGATCCCCGCCAGCGTCTTGTCACTACGTTGGGCTCGCTGACTTGTGTGGGCGGCAACCTTCCCCTATAATAGTGAACAGCATGTATCGGCTGCCGATTCTGAGTTGACAGCGAAACCATACCGTCGGGGTTACTTTTGTCTCCCTGTGATCCAGAAAATGTGTTCTCCGCCGCCCCAGATTTCAATGCGCGAACGTTCTCTGTAGACTTGAAATGCTCGTCCAATTTGGCGCATATAAAACCGCCATGGACAACGGGCATGTACTGCTTGCTGCAAGCCGAGCTAGATGTGGATGCGTCAGGATCAGCTGCTTCAAGCCTCGTACGTTTTTTTGTGGTATTCTTTCCGCCAAGGTGTGCAGTCGAGAATAAACAGGGCCCCCGAGAATGAAACGAATCATGCTTACCAAACATCATGACTTTTCGCATACTCCGAAGAAATAGTGCCGCCACACTCCGTGCAATTCTTCGTGGGAATGAACATTTGAATTGTCGCGCCATCTTTAGCAAATCCAGGCCAAGACTGTTCGGTGAGAAATTTTGACGGGTGTTTTGCGTCGGCAACATAGTACATCCCCTTCCGGACAAGGTCCTCTCCCGGGCAGCCCTGGAACCACACTTGGATGGTCTTCTCAACGATCTAATTTAAGTACACTCAGTAAACTCTCCGGAGCTATTCGTATCATGTAAGAGCGACTTGATATTTGGATCATTACTTACTGTCCAGGACCTCCCGCAGTCGTACGGCAGAGTCGCCCTTCTTCCTAGGGCATCAATGAGTTTGATCCCGCCCGTGGAAGGTTGAAGAAGAATGAGATTCAGTCCTTTGAAAAGTGGGAGCACAGTCTCCTGATAGCCTGTCATGATAGCCAAGGAAACTAGGCATCTGGTACTCGTCAGTTTCCAGGAAGACCAGGGGGTTTCGAAATCTTTGTAGGAGAAGGCTCCTTACACCACGGCTCTCAAAATGCTTATCAGTCCAACCGCGACTTGCTGGCCGCCCTGTAGGATTGACGACAAAGAATCCATATCAAGGCAATCCTCGGCTATGGTATTTCGGGTAATTGGCGGTGCCAATGGCCGGGATTCCGGTCGGTCTGAAGGTACTTGCCCCTGCTGCCGGTCTCGTGTCTGAATCTCGGTGCGTAAAACTTCGAGATTGCACAGAATCTCGAAAGTTCGTTCAAGGCAGCCATCTAGCTTCATTCCTTGGGATTCGAAAGTCTGTAGAATGGTTCTGATTTCTGGGTTACGGCTGTACGATTCCAATGCCGCTCTCGTGGTATGTTCCATCTGACGCTGAATATCAGATGGTAATTTGGAAAAAACAAGCCTAAGGTTTCTATTAATTCAATGGCATTGGTATAAAGAGGTTTAATGATCTATACTAACAACATTTGGTTCATTAATTTAATCTGTAGCGTTGATAACTCGGGGCCAATCTTTGCGCGTAGACTTTGGACCCTCTTCGAGGTTGACATTCCGTACTGGATTTTGCGTTGTAATCTTGTGGGTTTGCTGGATGTAGAGAAAGGTCCAAGGGAACCCCCATAGTCATTCTGTATGGTCTTCAGAAACAGATCAATCTCTTTTCGCAGACGTTCAACGTGGTCGCTGATATCTTGCAGAAGCTCTGGGTGTGAAGAGGTAATCTGGATGCTGTCGAGGGTGCGGAGTGTAGTCGACAACTCATCAAGGAATGATGTAGCATCCTGATAGTCGGTCTTGGAGCCTCCAGAGTCTTTCAAAGCGATGCGGACTTTGTTAAGCAGTTGGAGAGCTGCGACAATGTCTCCGGCAGACCAGCCGAAAGACATTTCGGCGGCGAGCTCTGAACACGGTCCAGACACTCAACAACACTGATTTTCTCGGCCAAAAAGACAGGTATTTTGAAAGCAAAGTAAATGTAGATGAGATGACGAGAAGAAAAATGCAATGCAAGAAATGGGCGGCGGTTATAAAAGGGCCATTGCAGTGGCAAATCACGAGTAGCCGGCCACCCTCCAAGATTACCTCTCGTCGAATGGGAGCGCGCGTCAGGCTTTCTTGAAGGCTTTTTCACAAGTCGTTTTGGTCGTTTTGGGGCGCCTGCGCAGGTACTCGTTGGCAGATAGCGAAACCTGAAAGAGTGCCTTAAAGATGTCGAATCACAGTTACAGACCCTGCGCCACTCATCAACCGCTGAAACCAGGCTGCATCCCCCCTTGCCCAGAGTCGCATCGTTGATATGACTGGTTCATTCTCTCGATTTTGGAGAGTAACCCCTAAAGCCTCGAACGCTAAGTTTCTTCTTCATCCTAAAGAGTGCCCTTGAGAGAGTTTGCTTGTGGAACGTAGCTTTGAGCAGAGGAGCAATGAACTCGCCCAGCTCTCTAGGTCCTAGGAGACGATTTGAGGCCACCGCCATGAGAGATAGTACTTGTACCAGTCAGGTCGCTCTGCTACAAGGCAATAACGTTCCATCATTTTTCATAGTAGGGCAAGGAATTTTACGGTTGGAGAGCTCGCCGCAAGAAAGACCATCCAGAATTGAGTGTAAAGAGTGGTCCATCACCATCATTTGTTCAAACAACTACTTCTACAAGAAAACATCATTGGCCTTCTGGAACCAGGTGTCTCGATCTTTTTGATGTACAGCCCCCCAAATCTCTATCAATACACCACCCAAGCACCCCAATCATGAGGATCACCACTTCCTGCCATCTCACTTCCGGTTCGTACCAGAAACAAGCAACACAACACTCCCCAACTGCCTCCTCAAATCCTCCTTCTCAACATCATGCGTATCCTCCACCTCGCCCCACGCCCCAGTCTGCCACGTAACCTCCAAACTCAACGCCGTAGCAGCCTCCTCGACACCGAACTTTCCGCCCTTCCCGCTCTTATCGCGATACTCCCCAACAGGACCCTCACTCCACTCCACGACCAACCTCGCCGCCCCCAAAAGACTCTTCCCCGCCAACACGGCCCTCTCCAACCCCGTCAGCTCCCACGCGTCAAGCCCCATAACCCACCCCTGCACAACCTCCCTCACCCCCTCCGCCTGCCTCTGCGGCACGATACTATGCCCGTCCAGCACCGGCGTGATCTCGATCCCGGGCCACACCCGCCCCGTCAAGGCGCCGACCACGGCGTCCGCCGTCCTCTTCTGCACATCGCGCAGCGACTCTCCGGCGTCGTTGCGCGTGTCCGTCGCGCCCGCGGGTGGCGCCCAGCAGAGCATCGCGTCCGTGTCGAGGTACCGCATCAGCGTGTTGGCCACGTGCTCCCGGATCGCGCCGTCGTTGGCGGCGTCGTCGGCGGCGATGTCGATGGCGCGGCAGATGAGCGAGGTCAGGGGGATCAGGTGCTGCTTCGTCGCCTGCTCGGCCGAGGTGATGAGGTCCCATTCGATGGCGAGGGCCGAGGCGAGGTGCTGCTTCGAGGGCGGGAGGCGGATGATTTCCTTGGTGTTGGGGTGGCGGAGGGGACGGGAGTCGAGGTGGACTTGGAGGGCACCTGTGTCGAACGCCAACGTTAGCCAATCTCTCCAAGGCGGTCCATCGTGACACGAGCTGTTGATCATGGGATAGAAAAAGAAGACATACCATCTACCTCCTGCACACTGACATCATTCCAAAACCTCCTCTTCAAAGCCCCCGGCGCACTCGACTTGGCCTCGGCCGACGTCCGGATCCGCTTGGCGTGCTTGAGCATCTCGGCCTGCTTCTTCCTCCTCTCGACACGGATCCGCGCCGCCGCTGCCCGGTCCTCGGCGGCGATGTCAGCAATGGGCGGTTCCGGCGGCGGTCCCGTGCCGACCACGGGCGCGACCTCGGCGGGCTTGAGGGGCGTCGTCGAGATGGCGCGCGCATTGAAGGCAGCAGCGGCGCAGGTCGACCGTCTGGCTGACGAAGCCAATGGCGACGACGTCGCCGTAAAAAGACGCAGCGGGATGCGTGTTGACGGCTTCATTGTGATGGTACGCCCTTTCGTGGTTGTAGATATGGATTGGAGCTATGGGAGCTGCAGCTACAAAATGCAAGTTGGTCGTTGAATTAGTTTTTGGAAGCTTCGCGGCTAGCCCCGGTCGGGAATACAGGGGTATGATTGGCTTATGTCTTAGCGTGACATCAGAATGCGGGACGGTCTCGGGAGGTGAGCTCGGTGAAGCCTCGGTGTACGAGGTTAAAATTTCAGGGTCCTTTCGAATGCTTTGGAAATTGACGAATTGTTAGATCTTTCAATAATTGTTGTTTTAACTGTCAGAACTCGGCTACGCGCCTCGCTATACTTCTACGCCAAGGTGTACCAATACAAATTTTTTGAATCCATCGCCCAATTCCATTAGTAAGGTGGCTTCGTGACGTTCCCTAAGCTGAGCTCTCCAGCTCTGCTGTCAATCCCATTAAGAAGGTCGTGTAGATCCATCCCTCCTCCCGACACCGTTGACATGTTTCCATCCCCTCTCGCGGAACCCTGGTATAGACTGTCACCACCGCGGCTGCTAAGTACTCGTTTCGCCGGCTTTACTGCGTAATCCTGAATAGAAACCGAGGACGTCAGCCCACCAATGTGACCGGGCAATGGCGGCACCGGTGGAACGTCCTCGTCTTCGTTATGCTCGTACAAAGGGTTAGAGTTGAGCGGCCCACCCTTGCGTGATGCCGATGAAGACCTCTGCCGTCCAAGAGAGGCTCCATCGCCGTTTTCTGGCTGAGATGTCGCCGGGTTGAAGCTGAGCTCTGACGGGGTAAAGTCGTAGCTGACCATGCTGTCGCTGTCACTGTCATGGCGCACGCCTGCTGACGTGCCAATGGGCGTCGCCGGCACCTGGCCCGTCAAGACCATCTTGAGTTGATCAATGGATGTAACTACACCTCGGCTCGAATCCGACGGTGAGGGCGAAACGCCACTTCGCACACTGGATTTTCGCAGCTTGCTCATGGGAGACAAGCCCCCGGCAACCTGGGATGAGTTTGGACGAAGGTTTCGCTGGCTGCCAAGCGGTGAAGACTCTCCCGTTTGTCCATGCCCATTAGCGCCATTAACAGTCAGGTGGTGTCGGTTGGTTCCCATAGTGCCGCTTTTCGAACCAGCTAGCGACTCTGACTTGCTTCCCGCCTGCAAGGCTAGCATAGCCGCATCTCTTGACCAGTCTGTCAGCATGTGCTCGCGGAAAGCTGTGGGTAGTTCCGAACCGGGCGTCGCGGGCGTTGTTGAAATCGAGGTGCTAAGGATGGGATGCGAAAAGTTCCGACCAGGAGATTGAGGAGGACTACTCGGCGGTGAGATGCTTGTGTCCGCATAGCTCACAGCGATGCTCTCTACAAATGATGCGCGGTCATCGAATGGCAGCAACGCTTCACTCTCGACTTCTGTGGCAGGCAGCTTGGTCTGCAACTTAGGGACTCCAGGCGTTCCGAGGAGCTCCAGGGCTGGCGGAGGGATAGCCACACCCTCAGTCCAGAAATGCTTGCTGCGTCTTCGAATGACCTCATTGGTGATGGCACGTCCCACGGCAGAGTTCTCAATGTCGAACTTCTCGGTCACTGCCCAGAAATATCCGTGGCAAAGACTGCCCAGGCGAACCTTTTGAACTGGCAGCTCTGCGTCTGGAATGTCCTCCTGGAGACGGAATACCATTGGCAATCCGTACTGGACTGCGTTGACACCCAACTGGGACACAAGCTTCGTAAGCAGCACGTGAAGAAGAACAATATCCGGGTCATAGTCGACATATTGCAACGCGTTGTCGTAGATTGCAATATGGAGAAGTTGGAGAAAGTGTGAGCGGTGCCTCGATGGTTTCTCGCGGTTAGATGCGTTCGATGCGGCTCGTTGAGCAACATTGGCGGGTTGGAGCTCGCGACTGTTCTTCAGAGAAGACCGGTGGTGTTGAGAGCTTTCGTCCCGCGCCTTCCAATCCGCCGCTGTCGTCTCGCGGTCTAGCCAGGTCAGAAGCGCATCGGCGTAGGCTTTTCTGACCTCGCCATCTGGATCCCGCAGAAGCCAATGCGTGTTCTCCCAAACTTGAAGAGGAACCTTGTTTCTCGACAAGTTCAAGTTGCCGGACATCTGTGCACGCGGGTTTGCAATGAGGAGTATGTTCTTGATGGCCTTCAAGGCAGCGGTCTTGCCAACGTTACGGGAAAGGTACGTTTCCAGCTGAGGTTGGCTGGCAGTCATGTCATCGGAGGGGGGCTGCTCAGAGGCTTCGGCTTGGGGCGACGAGCTGGTACTTGAGGATTTGGACGGCTTAAGTCGGAGAAGGATCGTCGAAATCATGTCCGAAATCTGGTCTGCGTAGTAGACATGTGTCGCCAGGTCTCCAATGCAAAGTTGAATTCGCTCGAGGAGTTCTCTTCGCTGAGCGAATACGTCACCGGATCCTTGAAGGGTAGAGACTACTTCTTCGGGCTCTCCTTCAGTTCTCCCAAAGCCTCCTGGCAGCTGAATGAGTTTCTTCATGTGCTGGACGAGACCGAGCAAGACGTCCATGGCGCTCAGCCCAATCAGGTTGACGTCGGAACGCAGCAGAGACCCAATCATGGCCGTCAACGATAGATGAAGCTTAAGGTTGTCGTCCTTGACAGGTGCTTTCGACAGATGATCCATGGCCGTCACCAGAATGACATAGCGGTCCTGTACAGGCGCCCATCTCGCGATTGCGCTGTACATGCTTATTGCCCACCCGTGATCCTGGCCCAGCTTCTCGTCCGGCTTGACGACTGTGTTACCATTTGCGACGCGATCCTCGATGAATTGAATAAGAGCACCAGTCGCGGAATGAATCTGTGGTCGGTTTGGCGTCACAAATATCTGCTTCAGGCACTGC